GGGGGGCACGATTTGATCCGTTTCTTCTTCGGTACTTGCTTCAGGTGTTTCCTGTGCCCCGCTGTTACTCTAGCGCCCCATAGTGGCGTAACGTAGGGACGTCAGTTGCTCAGTCAGCAACAGCTGCAGCTTTACGCTTCTAATAATCTCGGCTGGGGGGGGGGGCCACAAAATTCGGCAAAGGCGCGCCCGCCATGCCGTTTTGAACGCACATGACCTGAGGGCATATCTTTGTTTTTTGCCTCTTCTTTTTGTTTTGGGGTTAAATGGTATCAAGGGATTTTCTTGTATGTGTCCAAGGCAAGAATATTAACAAAAAAAAATGGGGCCGGGGAGGCATTTGTTATTTTTACGGAGACACTCGTGATGCAAATTGTGACTGTGATGTAGCATGTCCACTCCAATCCGGAACGTTGTTTTTCCATGTTTGTGATGGGAAAAGGTTGACGATTAGCCTTTGATTGCCGTCGTCCGACGACTGTAATCACAATATTGATTGATTGGCTAACCGCTGAATGTTCCCTTGTCACGTGGGGTGCGTCCACCATACACTTCGGAAATAACGAACGGGCACGAGTACGCGCATCATCTGAAGTTCCTTTTTCCCGAGCGTCTCGTCTCTCCTCCCGACAGCTGCCACCGCACACAAGCTCAACCTGTTTTACCTCGCCAACGATGTCATTCAGAACTGCAAAAGGAAAAACGCTATGGTTTACCGTACCGCATTTGCTGATGTGCTCCCCGAGGCTTTTGTGCTGATCAAGTAAGTATGCTGTTGTGTGTCGTCGGGGCCGATTCCGAAACTGGTCAATGCGCCTTAAAAAAATGCCAAATCTTTTTTTTTTTCTTCCTGGCCCCGTCGTACGAATGTCAGAAATATTTGTTCTTGCTGGTTTTGCGGTCACGCAGGCAAGAAGGTGATGCAAAGGTGGTGAAATCGGCGCAGAGGATACTGACCATCTGGCAGGAGAGAAGCGTGTATCCCGACGCTCTGATTGCCGAGCTCAAGGCAGGCTTGGTCAAGGAGGAGTCTCCGCCGGCGACGCCCGCCGAGCAAAAAAGTGAGCGCGTCAACATCCGAGACTTCGTAGCTCCTCAACGTGCACGCCGCCTTCGATCTGACCCCCTAATTGTGACTTGAATTCATCTCCAGCTCCGGTTGAGTCCAAGGCAGATCTGCGGTCCAAGATTGTCGCAGAATTTGTGGTAAGGAAGTTTGAGGGATCTCGCCGTCTCGCGCGGATCCCAAGCGAATAACTCAGCCGACGGCAAAGGAGGGTTCTTTTGAAAATGTCATTTCCTCTGATTCTCCAAGCCCCAGTCCTTGATCGACCACCTGTCCAAGTACAAGAGGTCGTTGGAGGATGTGGACCTTCGAGAAAAGCAATTAGCAGCGATGAGGGTCGACATCTGCAGTTCCGAAGCCCTCAAGAAGCTCAAAGGTGCCAAAACGGTCCCGCTGTCATTCACCGGAGGCCGCCGCCGCCGCCCGATGCTTTGGTGTCCAACTTCCAAGCCCGTGTGTCCCCATTGACTTTCAGATAAGGCGGGAGGAAAGAAGTTCTCCCGGGACTTTGAAGAAGGCAATACTCAGCTGCAAGAGTTTGTCAAGTTCTTCGACAGACAAAACAAAACCGGGCCGCTTCTCCTGGAAGCCCTGAGCAACGCCGATATCTTCTACGAGATGCAGTACAAAGAGGTCAAGATCGTTGCCAATGTAAGCGCAGTTGTGGAAAACGCCACGCCTTGGTGCGGGGGTGCCCAAACCGCGGCCCGGGGGCCATTTTTCGGCATTTATTTTTGCTCACAACGTACGTGTCGATACTAAGAATGCCATTTGAGGAACGGGTGAGCGTGAGCAGCGTGACGACCGCCTCTTAAATCCGTACCTGACCGAATCTAGAAACCCGCTGATTGAGTCTTGCCTGAGCCCTGAGGCCGCCATGTCCTTTTGAGTCTACGGCGAGGGCCAAAATGACGGACGGCGGCCCTTTGGAAGGCGCCGAGACACGCTCTTCATTCTTCTTCCCCTTCCCCTCAAGGCCTACCAGACGTTCGCGAACCGAGTGTCCCACCTGAAACGCAAGCTGGACAACCTCAAGGCCACCTTGCCGGACCTGGACGACTCGCCGATCCCTTCGCCCTCCGCCGACGCGCCATCGCCGACGGGGTCCGAATCGCCTTTCCGCGACCTCGACCCGGCCGGGCGTCTTCCGGAGCCGGACGCCGCGGCTATGGAGGATGAAACGGAACCTCCGGCCCCGAGCCCTCTGTCTTCGATCGGAGATTCACCAAAGCGCGTGTCAAATCTCGCCGACGATAACGTGAACCGGGAAGTGGAAGATATGGAGCTGTCTGACGACGAAATCGTTAGCGGTAACATCATAGGTGAGCAGTCCAACGGGGTGACCTTTTTATTCGTTTACTTTTTGAACTGTCATTCCTAGCCAATGGCAAGAACCAAAATCTTCCATCTTTTGACAGTTCACTTCGCGTTTGCTGTTGTTTTGTTCGTTTTTCCTTTCTGAACAGTCTTTGACCCTCTCGTAAATGGACACATTGGTCACCCTGTCAAGAAATACCATGAAAATCTCTTCTTTCACTGGATTTGATTGAACTTGGTGCACAATCCAGAACTCAGGGCTGTGAAACGTCCGCAGATTCTGTTGTGAAAAATACGATTTTCACAAAACCTCCCAATTTTACACCAACCACATCGTACCCATCAAAAACTGCTCGCCGTCGTCTTTCGCTGACATCGGTTCAGGTTAACGTTGACGTTTTTATTGATTTTTTTTTTCCCCCCCTTCCACAGTTGAGGAGCAAATGAAGAGCCCCGGCCCAAAAGTTGAGACGCCCCATCCCGTGACCCAAAACACCGAGCCATCGGCACCAACGGCGCAGCGCGCCTCATCTGAGGCGGCAGCAAGTTTGGATACTGTTGACCTGGGGAAAATAGGCTCCATCCTCAGCAGTTTGAATGCAGCCATGAAAGGCACAGGTGAGAAGTGCAAGTCCAAATACGGACGGCTACAAATCAGGATTTGCTGCCGTTATCTGTAGCCCTTTTGTTTTTGACCATTCATGATGCGTACCTTGTTGCCTAACAGCGGACGACAGTCCTCCTCCATGTTTTTCAACAGCGTGTGTGCCCTTCGTTGCAATGCAGGACCACCGGCGGAGAGTCCGTCTGCGACCAAGCCCTTCTCGTCAACGGAGACGTTACGTCCTGCCTCTGAGGAGGCCACTTCTTTGGTTGACATCTTGGCAAAGGTGGACATGAGTCCTGCCGATCTCCTGAGTGCTCTGTCTAAAGTCCAAGCCCAAGGTGGCCTTGAAGGTGAGGTGATTTTTCCACTCTGGCGACAGCAGCCTGGTTTTCGTCATCACTACACTGATTGTGTGCCCTTGACTTCGCTACAATCAGGCATCGCTTCTCTGCTGAGCAGCCCCACCGCAAATGTCCCAGCAGAGTCTTCCAATGCGGGCGAGGCATCGGCATCGGCATCGGCTTCGGCTTCGGCTTCAGCAGCTCCCGATCGGAGCGCCGCGGCCTCCCCCGCCGCACCGGCGCCCTCTTTGCTGTCAGACGCCACCATACAGCGGAGCGCTGCTGCGCTAATGCTCCCCGAGAGCGGGCCACCCGCTGCCCCGGCGCAGGACGGACCCAGCGAAACAGCTTGGACGGCCGACGTGGCAAAACCAGACAGCTTGGAATCCAAAATTCACAATTTCCTGCACGGCAATCCCGCTTTCAGCCACTTTGACCTGAGTTTCGCCCTGAACCTGCCCAATCGGGCCGACAACTCGAGCCCCGTCGCAGGAGCCGACACGCGGGATGGGACACCGGTGCGCGACGAAGGCGGAGGCACCCCCACCCAAGACGAGGTTATGGACGTGACGATGGGGCTGCCCGAATCCCTGAGCGCAAAGCCTGAAAGTGGGATGCCAGCTCCCTTTGCCTTCCAGGAAAATCCCCCCCGCAACCCGGGGGCCGGCGCCTTGCAAGGCTCCTTGCGGCCAGCTCAGAACGGACAGCTGTACCAAGCGTACCCATACGGCGAGGATAAGGTGTCGGATCCTGCCGCGCCATATCCGCCCGTTTCTACTCCGGGCGGAGGTGCCGGGGCCGGCACGCAGACCGTGGAGGGCTTCCGGGGGCCGAGCGACCCGGCTTGGTATGGTGAGACGTACCCAGAGGGGGGCTTCCAGCAACCCACGGCCTACAATGCGCAGATGCCCGCCGCCAACCAGGCGACCGGGCCCTTTGAGTACCCAACACAAGAAACTGCGGAACCTGCGGGCTTTCAGCAACCTTCAAACTTCTTCTGCAATCTCCTTCCGCCTGTGCCCAAGTTACCACCCCCGCCGAACATCCTCGCGGCAGGTTCGGGAACCGGCCATGCCCCCGAACAGCAGCCAGCGCCCCACGCGGACGTCGGCCAAGCCGGTCAGAGCGGAGGTTTGCCCGGGATGGTGGTCCACGACCACGGACACAAGTCGGTTTTCCGTCCGCAGGAGTCGTTGTACGATGGCGGCGATGAGCCGCACTCGGCCCCAAACAACTTGCGTTACCCAGAAGACCGAGAGCATTACCACGACGATGTGCACCAGCAGCCCGGCCCTCGCTTTCACGCCAGCCCTTACAACCGCCTTCAGGCCCCTTTCTACCAACGGGGCGGCCCTCGACATAACCTCCCCAGAGGCAGGGCCCGCTTTGCTTCTCCGCCCTCGCCCTCACCGGATGCTTTCGGCAATCCGGATTACCAAAGCCCCCCCCGCCCCCACTTTGCGCTCAGGCGGCCGCCGCCGCCCTCCCATTTGCAGATGCGCCCCTCTGGCTTGCGACCTCTGCCTCGGCCTCCCCACCCTGGCCTTTCCCACCCGTTTCCCAGGGGCCCCCCACGGGCACCGTTCCCTACTTTTCATGGGCCTGACCCAAGACTCAGGGGCAAACGTCCGGGTCCCAGGGGAGGTCCAAATCCCGGACCCGTGTTTGCACCCAAAAGACCTTTCCCACCCCCGCACTACTGACTGTGCTACTGCAAGCGAGGTCCGTTTCCTGCATTTGGAGAGCCAATATGAAATGGCTGAAGGGGGCAGTCACTCAGAGACCGACGAAGCGACGGTGAAGCAACAATCGTGCCCAAATCCGAAAAAAAAGACTGGCAACCAGAGCCACCGACTCCACCGGGGAAGAAAGCAGAAGCTCCCAGAAGAGTGCTGAAGACAGAAGAGTCAAGAAAATGAGAGGTGGATATATATATACATACATACATACATACATACACATTTTTTCTCCACAATTTGGAGCTTTTCAGTCATCAACCGTCAACGTTTGATACGGTTCGGTGTGTGTGTGTGTGTATGTGTGTGCGTGTGCGCTCGTGCACGGTATGCAATCGTCATGCATACGAAGCCACAGAACGTTCCTCGTCTTGAGTCATTTGAATCCGGGCAGTGTCAGAAGGATGCGCTTGACGCTTTAGTTCTGCTGCCATTTGGTTTCCGCTGAGCAGTTCTCACTGCTTCATTTCATAACCAGCACCCATTGGAGTTCCCTGTTGGAGTGAAAACGATTTTGAGTTTGATTTCTTTTATTTTTTTTTGGACAGGCCTCCCAATACACGATAGCTATTTGGCACTTGGAGCTAGCTCTGTTTCTACTTGTGAAGCCGCGGTCTCCCCGTACTAGTTTCTCTGCGTCGAGAGCGGCCCCCCTTTCCACTTAACCGTAAAAGGATGCGTCGGAGTGAGAGCCTTCTTTCGCCCTCCCGCCCGACGCAGAACCTTTTGGAGGGGGGGAGGGGGCGGCGAAGATGCTTCAGTTTCATTTCATTTGTACTGTGTAATAAAAGTTTGATTTGGAAACCGTGTTGTTTCTGTTTGACCGCCATTCCACCAATGAAGACCATCAGCTTTTCAGAATCCGCAAAAAAAAAAAAAAAAAGTTTAAATGTCTACTGCCACGACAGACGGTCGTACAAATAACATTTCAAACTCCGTTTGACGCTTCCTTTTTTTTTTTCCAAAAATAAAAACGCCAGCTGAGATTGGATGCTTTTTCAGGATAACAGTATACCTTCTTCCCACCAGTGTTATTTAAACACTTTTTTCAGGCCCGTATCTTAAAAAAAACTAAAACCCAACAACAACAATTATGTGCGTCGAGCCCACAAGTATTATCAGAGTAATATTTCACTTCAGCCAGTCTGTGGTGACCAGGAAACCAAAGGTGGGCCACTCTTTGAATGGCACTCTCCAATGTACATCTCCCAATTTTGAAACGCGGAGACAAAACCCGTTTTATTCATATCAGGCGTTGCAGCTTATCGGGGGTCCTAATCGGTCGTCATGAAATGCAAAGGCCAGTTTCAATCCAAAGCGCCTTCAGCTCTGAGTTTCACAACATGGAATGCCTTTCCCTCTTCTCATCTGTAAATCGTAGACGGGCCAAACAAAGCCACCCAAATAGGATACAAATTGTTTTTGGGGTTTTTTTTTTATCACTTTTTTTGGACAGTATACCTTTGTGAGGATGAGCGGATTAGAAAATGGATGGATTTAATATTTAGTGGCCGAACTTGGACTTGCGATAACTGCCCGTGGCCCACTGACTTCACCAGACTTGCATTGTTTATTTGAAATGCTTTTCTAGGCCTTTACCGCGGTCTCTTTCCATTCTTCGAAGTTCGGGTGAGGGGTGGTGGGGGGTTCTCCCTTAAATTTCCTCTTCAGGGGCCAAATTACATACTCGATGGGTTTAAGATCCAGTGGTCGACTTGGCCAGTCGGAGAGGTTACACTATGTGTGCTCGCTTGTGAATTGGGGGGGACGGGCAAAGGTGCTCTGTCTTAGGTTGGTTTCAAACATCTCGATGGAATACCGCAAAATAAAAGATGCAGTTCAGAAGTGTCGTCTCACATTCACCTTTTGATCCGAAACCCAAATGTCAACCAACAACACAGCCGTTGCAGTCCTATTGCACTGAAATCGAGCCCCGATAAGAAACTGCACCCCGTTTCACCGCCGCTTCGAGTACAAGACACGTCACAAAGCTTAGGAAACAAATATTTGGGAGGAGTGAAGTTAGTCCCAGATGACTTTGCTGATGATGCCGTCAACTGAACAAATGCAAACTGTCTTGATCGGGATTGGGCTTCTTTTTTGCGTTTGTTCGTTTTTAGTGATGAACCGAATGAATCTGATCCAAAAGTCACTTTGGAGAGTTGCTTTCAGGATGACCTTGAAATTTGACACAAAGTCACTGAACACCCAAGGAAGATGGTTCTATCCAAGGGTCAGTCAAAACCGAGCGGGTGTTCCATTTTTCGGAGCGCTCCACTCTCATGACGACCAAAGTCCACTCCGAGACTGCTGACGGGCTCTTGAGTTCCGTCCTCTGTTGCCTTTTGCAATGACGACGGCCTCTCCTCTGTGCCTCGTGAGGGATTACAGCAGCTTGATTCTGTGTCGCCTTTCTTCATTTGATCCTGCTTGAATGCCTATTTCCTGTTTCATCACCCTTCTTCCCCTCCTGTTTTCATCCCCAGGGCCTCCACAGCCACGCTTTGAAGTGTCACATGCGATGGGAACCTTTTTCGGAACATCTTCCCTGATGCAGGTGTGTTGTCGGCGGCGCGATAGTTGCTTCCTCCTTCAGTCCTCAGCCTGTCACCTTCCATCTTAATTGCATCACTTGTCCGTTCAACGATGGAATCAAAACTGAATTTTTTTGTGTCCCGAAATCAGGAGTGGGCAGTTTTGGTCACACATTTGTAAGAATGGAAAGGGCCATTAAATGATCTATTTTTCCACTTGAGTCTTTTTTTATTTAAATGAGCCCTCTTAAAGAAACACAAAACACTTGAGGTGAATGCTTCTTAAATTATTGTGAGGCTTTTTTTTTTAAAATAATTTGACAAACAGCAGTCTGTGTGTGTGTGTGTGTGTGTGTGCGCGCATGTGCACTATCATACACGCATATGGATTCATATGCATATATAAATATATGTACGTATATAGGCATGCTATCCGCATATGGAGACCAATGTAATAATTTATAGATGTTTTTTTTTTTCTATCCTCCAGTCAAGATTTACTTATGTGACAAGGGGACAAGCAGCTTTTCGTCACCAGATGTCGTTGCGGGCGTGAAAAACAAAATGGAAATGTTTTTTTCGCTAACACAAACCACGTCCAGTACTCTCCGTTCCGTTACTCAAAGTGGACCGCGATCCACATCCTTGAAGGATGGATTCAGGTGTTCGCTCGCCTATACGTCTTGCGGGCTTCTGAGGATGCGGTCGCAATGGCAGATGAGACGTGAAGGAGCAAATCAAGGTGGCCCGGGGGTCCGAAAGAGAGCCCACGTCGGCCGTGCGCTTGCTGCGGTCACGCGGCCCCCTTGTTTACGTGGAGCCACGTGGCGTTTCGGGAGGGTGCGTGAGTGACGAGCCAAATCACAATTTAAGTGTTTTCAGCATCACACGAACCGATAGAAAGCGGTTCTTTGCTGTCTCGCCGCATCGGGGATGATGAGTGCTCCCAAGTTTCCGAAGCCTTTCAGGACCACGGCCAGATCCACGACCAGAACAAAAGACGGATTCGCTTGGCTGGATGTCAGGGAGCGTCCGGAAATGTATGGTCACCGCAAAGCGAAGAATAAGAGTTCTCAGCTGCTCGTCACGACGTTTGCTGATTTTCTGCACGTATGGAACTTTATTTTTTTTTCTTGATCTTGCCACATCAAATTATAGCACATATTGTACACACGTGGGTCAGTCCTGAGTTGGCGGACTATTCATCCAATTCAACCGTCACTGGTGAGAAAACAAAGTCATTGGTTGGGTGTCATTTGTTGAAAATATTTCATGAAGGTTGCTGAATAAATCATACACAACAGTCACGTTTGATTTTAATCCTATTTTAGCATTCCTAGAGTTAGCGTTAGCATCATTGCTACTTGCGAACGGGCCACGAGCGATTGGTGCTTTCCTCCGATGGCTGCCGGCTAGTGAATTAGCGTCTAAACTGCTCACGTTTACACGGGTTGGCAAACTCTGCTCGCCTTTTCACGCTTTCCACTTCATCCCTCGGGTGCGACTCGTTCCAATGATTCGACGGGTTTCTTGTATTGCCTTCGTTTTGGACGACATAGCACGCGCTACAGCTTCCTTCTCCACGTAGCTAGTGAGTGAACTTCTCTTGTACAAATCGCTTCATCTTCGGCAATCATGGCTGCCCACCAGCTGCGCGTGTCAAGCTGTACGTTTGGTCCCTTCGTTAGCATGACTTTCTGTTTACGGCTTCTTCTTTCATTTGTTGGCGGTTTCTGTTGCTTTCAACTTGCAAACCAATGTTAGAAGGGGCGCACATTTCCGCCACGTCTGAGTGAGTCAATCTGTTCACAGGTCGCCGGTCTGTCTCTCTGCGGCCCGGGTGCCGGTCCACGTATCGGTGGTTGGGGACCCCTGGTGTACCTCATCGAAATAATTAATGATAATAATAATAATAATAATAATAATAATAATAATATTTGCAAGTATCTCAGTGACGGTCCCTGATGCTTGACTGGCCCCGCCCACTGGAAGGATGGAGCGAGATGGACGGGGAGGGAGACACCGGCTTACGACGTCAAAGGAGTACGCGCACGCGCGCGCGTCGCATACCGACCACACGCTCAGAGGATACAGGAGAACCGACGGACTGCCAATTCCCGGCGCTCCACGGAAGGAAGGCGCAATATCCATCCGTGCCAACACATTGACGTCGTCCGGCGAGACATTTGGGCGATTTATGTTTTCGGAAAGAACAGAGCAATCTCTGGAGCGTCACGCGAGAGGAGTGGGGGGAAAACGCGCTCCTTTCCCGAATGAAGGGTTTTGTAGATTTGCTTTCGAAAGGGATTTCAAGAGCCACCAGTAGTCAAATGAACTGAATCGTCGAGACCGAACAAGTCCGAGGCGGAAGACGGGAAGACGTCCACTGTTTGCGTCGATTCTTTGCCGAGAGCAGCACCACAGGTAGGATTCGCAACTCTTTCCTTCTTTGTTATTGGTCGCTCTCAATTTAGTCCGCGCATGTGGAACGACGTCGTCGTCGTCGATGTTGCCAGCCTCTCTTGACAAAAGACTCACCAGCTGCGGTCGCACGCACACACGCGCGCGCGCTGTCATGTTTCTGGAAGGGATTAAAATATTGTCGGTATGATCACACAGACATCACCATCTGTGAATATCGACGGTCGTGCATTCTCAGTATGGATTCCCAATGTCCATGTCTTCCATTTTCTGCATTTTAATTCCAATAAGTACCTGCAAGTGTGTTTCTAGTATCCTCCCGACTATAATATTCCATTCTCTTTGCGCACATTTGGCACTAAAGCTTGAAAAAAACGGTGCCAAGAGATTGCGAGCGTATCCAACATCGTAATTATAAATCTGTGTTGCTAATGTGGTCTATGGTGTTGTAATCCGAGCCCCTAGAAATGGAGGCGCTCGCCGTCACATGTCCGTCATTTCTAACTGCTAACTTCTATTTTTTGGGGGTGTCTCCCCTTCCAAGGCATGTCGATGGCTGAAGTTCCGATCCGTTGGTGTAAAAAGACAAGAGCCGTGTGGTAGGGGTGCGGTGGGGGGATAATAGTCATTCTGTAGATACTGCTGGAGCTCATGGCGCGAAGGTTCCCAACGGCTGGTGCACGTCCACGGCCAAGCTCCTGTTTGCACCTCCTGCGCGGTGTGAAGTCAAGGCTCCCGGGCACCCCCCCGGGCAACCTCCCGGCAGCCTCCGCTCAACTCGCTTGTGTGTGCTCCTTCCTTCTCCGCAGACTCTCAATGAAGGAGCCGGACGCAATCAAGCTCTTCATTGGGCAAATACCCCGCAACCTGGAGGAAAAGGACCTGAAGCCCATTTTTGAGCAATTCGGCAAGATTTACGAGCTGACGGTGATCAAGGACAAATACACGGGCATGCACAAAGGTAAGCCAGGCGTCGACGTCTGGATGAACCGCTTTCGCTGGATCGAGACCGACTTTCGCTGGGCTTCGCTGCCGGCTCGCTTTATGTTTGGAGATCCTGAAGGGATCCGATGAGCATAATATGCCAGTCAAGATGTGTGTGTGTGAGTGTGTGTGTGTGTGTGTCCCAAACAAGGAAAAAAAAAGCCTGTACGATCATAAACAATATTGCTCAGGGTTGATTGACTATCCCAAAAAGTATTCATTTAACGTTGTTCCACATGTTGCTTTATCTAATTAGGTTGCAACGTTGTTCACGTTGTGTTTCACATGTTGGAGTTACTTTTTTTTTTTTTTAATCATCATTAGAATTGTAACATGCCATGTTCACAGACACCCCTCAGGATGACTGACATCACCGTAAGCAACAAGCATCAGTGAATCAGAATAACTTGTTTGCTTTTGGTCCGTGGTCCGCATGTACAGAGTTTTGTTGTTGTTTTTTTTTTTTTTTTTTGTAACCTATATGTGTGGAAAACACCAAGTGTGTTGCATTTGATGAAGCCAATGAACCGCTACAGAGAAGTTTAGTGTCTTTATAGAACAAAAAAAAACGGAGGCGACAGAGGCCACACATCTTGCAAAAACGCTGTCTGCATTCCTCTTCGATCACGTGTGGCGCATGCAGTCGGCTTGAATCCAAAGGACTTTTTCAACTCAACAATATCCAAGTGTGAAGATTTATTTTGACCAGGTTGATGTGATGACTTGGGTCAGGTCCCCTTTATATTCACACACACTCACACTCACAATTTGTGGCGGCCATCTCTGAGTGGGGGAGCGGCGTTTGTTTTTAATACCTTTGTAAATCTTGGCACCCAGTGACGCAAAACGGAAAGCTTTCACTTCATTCTCCGTGTTTGCACAACAGCTCTATCATCTTGCGATGTGGAATTCCTCATTTAAATGGCAACGCAATGCGCCCAGAGCGCCAACGCCGGAGGACAAAGGAGCCACGCGCGGCTCTGGAGACCCTCTCCTGAAAGTCTTGCGCAGGCTTCAGCAGGAGCCGACGTCGACAACCAACGTCGCCGCCCGACCATGAAAAGCCGCCGAGTGTCTTTGACGCCGCTTGTGACGGACGGCGTCAAGCCGCCTACGGGTGAATGATTCTCCCGGCCGTCGTTCCAAATGCAAATCTCATCGTGGAAAACAGAGGCGTCGACCAACCGGTCGCCTGGGAGACTCCGAGGCCAGGTGGCGTCGGTCCTCCCAAAAGCCTTTTGCTTTTCCGGCGATACGGACTCCCAACTGGCATTTGAACACAAGCGATGATCAGCGACATGTTCCCGAACGCAGGACGGCCGGGAACGTTTTGAAATCACAGATGGATCGGGATGACGGGATCGCTCACCAAACGACCTCCATGTTTGGTCACCATGCGCCGTTGTGAGCGTGAGCGGCGTCTCCGTGTCCACCTTCTGCCAAAAAGAACGAAAACCAACAACAATCAAACGCAATTGTTCTTAAAAGCTTGCGAGCCGTGAACGCCGCAAGGGCAGTCCGGCTTTTGTCAATCTCCCGACTCGGCGTCCCTAAAGTGAGCCGCTCGCGATGACCCCGATGAAAGACATTTTGAGGAGGTTTCACGCACGTTGTCAACAGCTGCAGTTGCGACCGCTTCCGCTGTTTGAGATTGCTACGGCAACACCGTCAATGCTATTTTTAGGAACTAGGCGGGAACAATGCGCACGTCGCTATTTTGTCATTTTGTTTTTCGAGAGCCGGATTAATGCAACTCTATTTGTTGTTCATTGATCATTGCCCCTCCCCCCCTCAGCTTGGCATGTTTATCCTTGTCGTCCCTTTTTGGGGTCCTGTATGAGGTCACTACAAATGTTGCCTGAGGGGCTTTTTGCAGGATTATTTCTTTGGAGTGTGTGTGTGTGTGTGTGTGTGTGTGTGTGTGTGTGTGTGTGTATGTGTGTGTGTGTGTATGTGTGTGTGTGTGTCTGCGCGTTTTCCGACGACATTCTCCTGGTCGTCATAAAATTGCCAAAGCCCAAACCGGTCCGATGATGATGATGATGATGATGATGACGACGACCGTAGCTACATTAAGCCTGTAGAGTCCTGAAAGAATGTTTGGGCCTGTCTGCGCGCTGGCTAAATCCCTGTCACATGACAGGCCCGCCGCCGACATGACACATTGAGCAGCGGCCAAATTTGTCATTCAAATGACTCCCGTTTGAACATTTGCTGAGCTTCCTCTACTTGATCTGGTTTCCAGGATGCGCCTTCCTGACTTACTGCGCCCGTGAGTCGGCCCTCAAAGCCCAGAATGCGCTGCACGAGCAGAAGACGCTGCCGGGGGTGAGTGGCGCCTTTTTGTCTTTCGAAGGCCTCGCCGCCTTACGCACATGTAGGACGCCGACGACGACCACTCAAAAAAAAAAAAAAAAAAAAAAGGACCCAAACGGGCTCGGGGAGCAGCCAGGGGAAAGGGGAAATTTTGACTTGCGTGGCCCAACTTCCCCTATTGCAGCTGCGCTCGCTCTTGGGCCACGCGCGGCACGCGGGCGAAGACGCAGCCGTCCGCTTTGCCGATGTTTCTCTCTCCCCCTCGCCCCAATCTCACCTGGATCTCTTTGGAGGTGGCCCCTGCTTCCGAATTTGAGTCCAAGGCGCGACATTAGCATAGCCGGGCAGCAGGTGTGCCGACATCGCCAGAGCTAAATAGGACTTGACGGCTGCGTCTCTCGGGTAAGCCACGAGATGAGAGATGAGGCCACCAGGCCAGGGGACGACTGAGCCTGAGCGAGCGCCC